GGGGCAAAAAGTGTGTGTGCTGGGTGGGTGGGGTCCTTCATGATGCAGGTGGCCCTCTTCCTGCATCTGGAGGTGTAGATGTCTGTGATGGTGGGGAGACTGATTCCAACAGATTTCTGTGCAGCCTCCACCACCCTCCGCAAAGCCCCTCCCCCTGCAGCTGCGCAGCCTCCATGCCACACATTGATGCCCGAGCACAGGATGCTCTCCACCGCACACCTGCAGAAGGAGGTGAGGACTGAGCTTCCCAGACCAGCTCGCCTCAGCCGTCTGAGGAAGTAGAGTCTCTGATGAGCTTTCCTGACCATGCTGGTGGTGTTGTTGCTCCAGCTGAGGTTGTCATTCATGTGTACACCCAAGTACTTGTAGCTGGAGACCACTTCCACCTAAACCATCTAAACATGTCCGCTGTGTGGACGTATTTTACACTAAACACCACAAAACAAGACGGCAACGTGCAATGTCTTCAGAGCCATAGCACCACATTAAACCGTGGTTAAATTAGTTTTACGTTGGACATTCGAGCTCGATTGCTTAAGCGGTGCGCTCTTCTCGCTCAACCCGAAGCAGGCAGTCTGAGCCCGGCCAGCTGTGCCCAATCCGCCCCACTCAGTCTGCCCGTCTCTGAGGAGGGGCAAACTGAGCGCGGCAGACCGAAATCAGACTGCCTGCTTCAGACTGAACAAGAAGAACACACCGCTGAAGCCATGGAGCTCGAATGTTTACAGAGAAGTTGCTAAACTTCATCGTAATTAATGATCAACTGCTATCATTTGTAGATAACAAAGGATTTCACAGTTTGATACTTGCAGCCAAGATATAGTTTCCCCTTCTGGAGATATTTATCAGTACAACAGTAGACAATCATAAAAAAACATATGAATTGAAAAATACAAGAAAGTTATATTTAAAAAAAACAAAAAAACAATAACAGCTACATTATAAAGTGATGTAAAACACTAAAAACAGGAACATGTCTGTGTTGGTTTACGCCATGAACTTAGCAGATGTTTAAAGACATTACATTTTTATTTTATTTTGTTTTATTCATTAATTTAAAGGAAACAAAATAAAATAAATTCATCAAAAAGAAAATGAATGAAAAGAGTGCAGAAAGAAGAAAAAAATCTATCTGTCGCTTTATTTAAAAAAAAAACAACCCAAACAAACAATCACTTAAATAAATCACTTTAAATCTACTTTAAAGCTGGGAATAAAAAAAATGTTTTGTT